TAACAAAAGATTTGTCTCAAATTTTGTATTTCCAACCAAATTTCGTGTACGCAATCGAATTCACTATTATCAAGAATACAAGCCTACGAAGCCTTCAAGGTGAGTCGAGAGATTTTTGAAGATATGCCTGGTTCTCGATGACCTTCGACCTCTTCAACTGATGAAAGTAATAAAAAAGTGAAAAGTATGGTACTTGAAAAACGTCCATTAAATTTTAGAGAGATGGCAAGAAGGCTCGATATCCCTCGGAAGTCTATTTGAATCATTTTGGTGGATATGAATCGTGTTCTTAGTCGACTCTTTTCGATAAAGCTGTTTTCAAATTTTAAAGCATTTCTAAAGCAAGTCTTTTATACTTGTGAATTAAAAAAAAAATCATAATAGGCTTAACTTTATTATTAAATTTTGAAGATACAACAAAACTATACAGATGTCAGCAAAATGAAATACGCTGAAATTGGCGCTAATTTTAATATTAAATTTGTTTTGTAATCCAATGACAAGTTGACACTTATAACYTTGGATTTCGATGCACAATTTTTGTTGCCCGCATTTTCATTTCAAAAATTTTATACAATGTGTTTAAGTAGAATTTTGACTATTGTTGTTGTTATTTCGCTTTCAATTTTCATTTTTAAAATCCACATATTTACATATGTATCTCAATATTACTTTCAAGATTTGATGTCGAAATCATTTTCAGCAGGCGCTCATATTTTTAATTAATCCAACTAGGTATCTCACAATCTTGACATATATTTGCATTCTGAAAAAATTTGATCTTATTATACATATATGTATGTGAATTTATGTTCTATAAGTGGGATAGTCGATTTTAACAAGCTTCTCTCGAGGTGAATTTTTTCTTCAGACAGGACAGAAACAGGCTGTAACTGCCAAACCTGGATTATAGGGTTAAAGCATAGAAATCTGCAAACTCAGCTATTAGAGCATCTGACGAGTCAACAACCCGAAATAAAATTACAAGAGCTACACCACCATGAGCAAAAATAGTATTTGTTCATAATTTTAAAATTTTTAATTTATTCTCAAAAATCTATACAGACCCCCTTGAAAAGCATTGTTTCACAGACGCGATGGTGTCTTTCAAAAAAATTTTGTGATTCTGGAACAAACCGTGCTTTCACTTTTCTTGGCCCAAAATGATTTTTCAAATTGGGTTTCACARGTCCTTCCGATATTCCAACGCTTCGAATAGGATCTCTGACTTCTAGCAGTCGATCCTCAAAGTCAAATTCCTTTGTTTGTTGATATGTTGATCACCAGTTGATGTTGATGGTCGTCCTGAACGTAGTTCGTCATCAACACATTCTAGATTCTCTTTGAAAAATTTAAGGGCTTTTTCAACATTCTCATCGTTTTGGAACGAGAAAGTTAATAGAACATTTTTCAGGAATTATTTCACTTATGGCAAAGATCGTCGTATGTAGTTGACGTACTTCGGAAGAAGAAACACTATTGCTTATGTTGATGTAATATTTAGCAAAGATGTCATTCTAGTATAGAGAAAGTATAATTCGACAAATAGATTTTCATACGAAATTTAAATTAAAATGAACTATTTTTTGCCATTTTAAATCATGCATTTTTTGCTATAAGTTATATATCCTAAATGGACACTGAAAACATGCAATAAAAAGGATGGAAAAAGGAGGTCCAAGAAGTTGTCATGCTGAAGTTAAGGATAAGAACCAGTTTGCTTTAACTGATGTTGTTTTCAATCGATATTTTCAATTTCTTCTCTACTATCAAATGTTGATTGAAATGGTGAATTAAAGAGAAAGATAATCTTGATATACATAGCTGTGGTGTTTGTTCTTTTATCACATGTTGTGTTTATTTTATTTAAATGCAGAACAAAACTTAAGGAAACACTAGAAGAGAAAACATTTTGCTAGAGCTCACGTCAAGGCTAGATTAATATTTTCATTTAGATTCAAAATATTTCTTGGCAGCTACCATTTTGTTTCATCGAGTTAATTATAATTGATTTAAATGTTCATCGCTGTTAGAGAAAAGTATTTATTTTTTAGTCCAAAATTTCAATTCACAACTCAACACACTCCTCAGTTATTACAACATAAAGTTTTCATAAGATAAGATTATTTTACTCACCTTCGGTATTGTTGGGCAGCGGTATGGGTTCGCCTCCTTCACGTCGCCACGTTATAGTAGGTGGTGGTGAACCAACTGCTGCACATTTTAACGTTACGTTATCACCTTCTCGTACTACCATATCCGTGCTGGTGGGATAATCGAGGATATCTGGTGGCACTGCTTACGGAAATGTGGGAAGAGCGAATACCGTAATAACACCGAATCAAATAAAACAATAATGGACCAAGTAGTCAGAATTGTAATGTTGATGTTGCATTGTATAGCGTTGCATGTTGTCCAGCGGAGTCACCATGATCGACGACATCATGATACAACAGATGATTTAGACATAGCACGTGATTTTTATGAAGCAACAGCAGCAACAGCAGCGTTCAAATGTTGTTTTTGGTCAGCGACAGCGAAAGTTGAAATTATTTTCAGATTGCGTTTGTTATTATTATATAGGACAGATTAGATTGCAAGTAAATTTTAATGACATTCGGATTTTCCCCGCAGACAAGAACCATCATTTCATATATTCGTTGAGTGTTGTTTTTTGCACACGGCAAAAGCAAAAATTTTGCAATTTCAAAGAAGAAGATAAAGTAATAAACGTGTTGTTAGTGAAATATTATACATAAGTATGGTTAACGCATATCTTAATTCTGTTCTGGTGTTTACTTAGTAAAGACTGTGTTAGCGTTACGCATCGAACTTATAGATCCTGGAACTTATACAAGTATATATAGTATACTCAATATATAAAAGCTTTATAGTTGAAGACCTTGTGAAATTTTTCGTTATTAATGCTTTAAAAATAAGGTCTAAGAATTAAATTTATTTTCAGATTTCATTATCCTACATTTTTGGAGAAATCTTTCTACAAACCAAAATTGGTTTGTTAAATTTTTTTATATATTTTAAAGCGGTTAGTTAGTGCGCTTTCCTTGAAACCCTCCATCGATAAAAAAAAAATTAAAAACCGCAATCTTTAATAATCAAAAAAAGCAAATCGAGAAAGTTAAATATATACTGAAATTTTAAAGGTTTAAATACACAAAACAGCCCTTGAATAAAAATGCCATAATAGCATGAATCAACGAATCTAAAAACAACATTTGTTCCGAAAAACAAAATTTTTTCTTCAAAGATCTTCAGAGAAAATCCATTCTTTAAAATTTTATTTTCTAGGTCCATATAGAAATCCTTGCATATGTCACGTYAAAATAATCATTTGTATTTAGTATATGCCTGGCTTTCTGTATTTGTTTATATCCGACTGCAGTGCTCACAGTTACTGTTTGGCCGATTTCAACCTAACTTGCAATGGTAAAACCCTATCTACTTCTCACATGAAACATTTTGATTCCACATTTTGAGAAGTATTTTCTTGCCTTTWCAGAATMTAAATGAAGCAAATATATAGTTAGGGAAAATTTCTTAATGAAATATTAGTTCTGAGGTATGCCTTCTCACGTCTGAAAATTGTCGAAATCGAAGTCTAATTCTTCAAGTACGTTATAGTACGTTAGTGAAGGTGCAATATAATCTCTATTGGTAATAGTTCAACTTTGGGGCAAAATGGACGAAACAAGGTGATAGTCGAAAAACTCTTTTCGTATTTCTAGTCAAATTTCAAATTAATTTTGTTTATATT